GCAGCCACAGAACACTTGGTTTCTGCTGGGCACGAGGCCACCTGGAATAAAGGCCACACTCGTGGGCTTCCCCTGCAAGTGTGGCCACGTAGCCTGCTTCTGATGGGACACAGGGGCTCTGCTCTGCTGCTTACAGCTACAGATTTCTTTGTAACAAGGAAACAAAAGGGTCACACAACAGTGAGGTGTAAATGGGTAATGTTGTAGGGTACAGGATAAATACTAAGCAGGAGTTCATCTTCCATGAATGTGCCGCTAAAAGGAAAAGGCCCGTCCCCGCTGCCTCCTTCATGGCCACGGTACCATGACAACATCTTCTAGAGAAGATGGACCAACTGACAGAGCTGGCATCACATACCTGGACCAGGCCTGTGGGGGCAGAAGCAAACCACTCTGGGGATGGGGTGGTTTTGTTGTTTTCTGTCTGTTACAGCAGCCAAACCTATACCCGACCTAACACAACGACCAACAGTAAGCGTCCTCGCCAATCTGCACCCATCTTTAAGACTCATGTGAAGAACAGAAAATCATGAACAGGAAATAAATGTATGGAGACCATTCCAGGCCACCAATACCTAAGCACTCAGTGCCAGATTCTGTACTAGACCTGCAGGGCACAGCCTTCCCTGTCTACACCGTACATTGCACGGAGCCCCGGTGGCACAGAGGTCAGAGCACTGAGCTGCTCACCAAAAGATCGGTGGTTCGAACCTACCAGCAGCTCCTCAAAAAGGAAGATGTGGCAGTGTGCTTCCCTAAGGATGACTAGCCTTGGAAACCCCATGGGGCAGCTCTGTGCTGCCCTATAGCGCTGCTATGGGTCAGAGTCAGCTCTGTGGCCGTGGACTGGATCGGGTTTTGTTAACTGAACTGTGCAGCCAGCTCCCGTTCCTGGGCTCAGCCAAGCTTCAGGAGCTGGCAGCCTTCCTCTGCCCCCACCCTTGGCTGTCCGGCCCTCACTCACTTGGGGTTTATTTGTGTTAAGGATTGAATTGTGTTCCCTAAAATGCATGGAAGTCCTCACCCTGGAAATACCATCCTGTCTGGAAATAGTTAAATAGTTTTCTTTTGTGTGTTAATGAGGTCATACCAGAGTAGGATGGGTCTTAATAGTTGTGAGTTAAAGAGCAGAGAGGACCAGAGACACAGGGACGAGATGCATCTTCTGCATACATACTGTACGACACGTTCCACATACTGTGCATTGTAGAAAGAGCTCTGGTGATGCAGTGGTTAAAGCATTATGGCTGCTAACCCAAAAGTCAGCAGTTCAAACCCACCAGCCACTCCACAGCAGACAGATGAGGCAGTCTGCTTCGGTAAAGATTTACAGCCTAGGAAGCCCTGTGGGGGCCCTTCTATCCTGTCCTATGGTGTTGCTGAGTTGGAATGGGCTCCATGGCAGTGGGTTTCGTTTCTTGGTTTGGTACATTGTGTTGGCCCTAGATACTCTGATTCTACTGCACATGCCATGTGTTCTACATACTGTCTACATATACAGGCAACTGTCTGCATCCTACATGTCTGCGCTGTAGGGTCTACGTCCTGTCCCCCGGCTACTTTCCGGCCCTGCCTTAGTGCCTCGGGAACAAAGCACCACAAAGTAGGTGGCTTCTAAGAACAGAAATGGACTCTCAGCCCTGGAGGCTGGGAGTCTGAATTCCGGTGTCGGCAGCACCTGCACGCTCTCTGATGATTCTGGGGGAAGATCCTTCCTGTCTCTCCGCCTCTGGTAGCTCCGGGTGGTCCTTGGTTTGTAGGTGCACCTCCAAGTGGCTCTCAGTCTTCAGTGTCTCTTGCTGTGCCTGGTCTCTTAGGAAGAAGGCTAACTCATGTTAACCTAGTTGGTAACCTCTGCAAAGACCCTATCTCCGAACAAGGCTGCTTCCACAGCTACTGGGGATCAGGACTTCAGTTTATGCTTTTGGGATCACAATTCAAACCACAACCCCCCAGCCCATTTCCCACCCGAGGGACCCAGAGCGTTGGACCCGTGCTGTGTTTGTGGAGACAGGGGGATGGGGTCCCGGGAGAAGCAGGAGGCGGCCTCTGCCAACATGAGGTGCCCCAGGGCTGCGCTGATTGGGCCCTGGTGCAGACAGAGGCTCCATTGGACAAGGTTGGGGCCCAAGGCCCCAGTTGCGGCTCTTTCCCCTGCAGTCGGCTGGAACTAACAGTATCACCCGTGGGGTCAGTCAGGGAAGGTTCTGGTCGACTCTGGCATGGCGTGGAGCAGAGGAAAGAACCGTGAGGCTGGGGTTAACTTCGGGGGCTCGGGATAGTGGGCACAGCAGGCCCAGGGAGTCCAGAACCCCTGCCCCTGCCTTTCTGGACATAGTAGCCACCTGCCCAAATGCCTCGTGAGCGCCACTGCCTCGAGGGGAGCTGCTTGGATGGGCCGGGGGTGGGGCGCAGGGAGGGCACCCGGAAGCCCATACCGTGACTCCGCAGGGAGGGCCACCCTGTACCCGGAAGCCCGTACCGTAGCTCTGCGAATGTGGGCGATCCCTGGGCTCGATCCCCGCAGCGCCCTCTCCTGGCTGCGCCGCACCGTCGTCCAGACCCGTGGGGCTCACAAGTTCTCGCGATATTTCCCCAGAAGCCGCTTTCTCAGGGAGGGACTGTGCTGCAGGTTCGTCTTGCTTCTCCGCCATATTTGGCCGATTGTGGGACGTTGGATGAATGAAGCTCATGGTGAGAGGAGAGAAAGGCGGCTACCGCGTGACCCCAGACGCAGCGCCCGGGGTGCCCCGGCGCAGAGTGAGCAGGGAGCAAAGCCAGTGGCTGACACTACAGGGCAGCTGGGGCAGAGGGAGGGGCGGAGCCCCGAGGAGGAAGAGGTGGGAGAGGAGGAAGGCTGTGCCTGGCGCACAGACGGAAAGTGCTCACAGGTTGCCCTAGCCTGCTGGAACTATCTGACGAAAAGTACCGCAGTTGGCTTTAAAGGAGAAATTTGTTTTCTCACAGGTCTGTGTTCGAATTCAGGGCGAGGTCCCACTGTGTCTGTTCGGTGAGGGCTCCGCATCCCAGGGCGTGTAGATGCAGGCTGGGAAGGTCTGTCTTCACACAGCTCTGGGGCCCTGTGCCTCTGGTCCTCTCTGCTCTTTAACTCCCAAGTGTTAAGACCCATCCTACTCTGGTGCGACCTCATTAACACACAAAGGAAAACCATTTCCAGACAGGATGGTATTCACAGGGTGAGGACTTGCACCTGTTTGAGGGAGCAGCTGAGTCGAGTCAGTCCTTAACACAAGTGACCCCAGAGTGAGTGAGGGCCGGACGGCCAATGGTGGGGGCAGAGGAAGGCCGCCAGCTCCTGGAGCTCGGCTGAACCCGGGAACAGGAGCTGGCTGCACGGTGCAGAAGGTGCCCGGGG